CTCTATGTACATATCTTCAATGTTGTCAACAAAAGCAAAGAAATCTTTCACACTATATTTAACTAACTCCTGATGTAGCGGCTCAAGCAGATTTACTAGCCATTTAGCTGTTAAACGAAATGAATTTGACATATCAAGAATGGAACGTAGGGGAACTGCCTGTTTATGGATCTTCGGTAAACTATAAAGCTTGGTGTATGAGTTTCGGAGGGTTCGGCAGCGTTGAATATAGAACTGTCATTCAGGTTTTCATCTTTTAAACAGTTTAAAGCCTTAATAAACTGCCGTTCAGTAGCTTCATTCGAATCTTTACTACTACTACCACCCAACTTTTGCAACTTCGGATGATCTTCCAGTAAAGCGTTCATCTTTTCGATATAATCAAGTTTGTTTAAGATGACTGTACCCGAACCCTTTTCAGGTCTAGTGATTATAATGCTGACATCCGACTTAAACTTTCTGATGCATTACCCATGCTTTTCATTTTTGACCTGGGTATTACTGTACTGGCAGCAACAGTCAACAATTCCATGTTAGTTTGTTTATTAGATATATCACAGTGAAACAGTATTATTTACTGGATGACGTTTCGAACAAAATTTATTGTTCATAATCATATCACTGATTATAATCGCGCGACTTTAAAACTTGATTTTTATAGTTTTCTTTGTCGTCTCCTATTTGTCGTAAGGGTGGTAGAATTTATCAGATATCTGGGATATCTGTTTCAACTAATCTAGATTTTGCTAGGTTTTTATGTTCGGCTAGTCTGACTGCCCCTGTTCTACTAGTTGGACCTATGTATTTAACCTGACAATCATTTAAGCATGGTATTAGATAAACTAAACTGTTTTGTTTTATTGGCTCCACCGGTGGGATCCTTTAACCAACGAAGCTTGTTTCTAATTGAGTTTATGGGTTTGAATGCCAGCCACTTTTATTCCTGCCTTATTAAGAATTCTGCGTAAGGTTCCTTTTTTGTATGGAATTACTACTGATCATTTAGATTCCTTATTGTCTTGCGCATATTTGACATGCATTTCGTCATTAATATTATTATTGTTATCACTACTATCATTATTTATTTTCACATTTCCGTGCATATTTCCTGACTAATTTATCAGGGTAATTATTGAGTTTCAAGGCTTCTCTTATATGTCTCACTTCCTGTCTACTACCCCTACGACAAATAGGAGACGACAAAGAAAACAATAAGTTTCGAAGTTATGTGATTATAATTGATATGGTTATGAACAATAAATTTTGTTCGAAACATCATCCAGTAAATAATACTGTTTAACAGTGTGGTACATCTAATAAACCAACTAATATGGAATTCAAGTATTGGTTTGTAGGGATTTGGTTGATTGGTTACAGGATTTCATCATGAGCTGACATTGGTTAGAGAACTATTGGAAAACCTGGGAGTACTGGACAGCTGTTTCCTCCTGGAATTACTTATCAATAGTGCCCAAGTTTTACACATATTAACAGTCAAGAATGATACTCTTAAATCTCTAGCTCACAGCTGGAGGACGGTGTTAAATCTTGTGTTTGAATATAAAGATTTTAAAACTGCACCTCTGTCTGTAAATGATCAATATTAACCCTTTTGTTACAAAATTTTGAACCCAAGGACACAAATTCTATAGCAGTCTTACCTAGGCGTCGAGTTCTAGGTAAACAGGGGAAATCAATCGACGAAGTCGTGAAGCTACAAAGACTGAGATGGTTAGGACATGTGTTACGTATGCCAAGTCATCGCCTCCCTCGACGAGCTATGTTAGCGGATATAGGGTCAGACTGGAAAAAAGCTAGCTGCGGTCAAACAAAAACTTGGCATCAGTCAATGAAATCCACAACAGTTGGTCTAAGCCACGTCGAAAGGTGTAGACTTCCAGGCTGGGGTCCTCGGGACGGTAAAAATCTATGGTTGGAAACAATTGGTGACATGGCTCAAAGTCGTTCTCAGTGGCGCAGATGCATCCACTCCCTGTGACTTATGATCTTCAATGAAACTGTTTTGTATTTCTTTATTACTCCTTTGTCTCACACCTCTGCTCACTGTTTCTATTATGCTTTTCTTGTAATTTCTTCTCTTGCTTCGCGTGCTACACGGAATGTGGCGACTTGAACTTCCGCACATTTGTGCAAAGTTCTATGTCGAAAACAGACAGATCTAAAGCAACACTCGGAAGGTTGATAACATACCTTTCCGGATAATTGGGAAAATGGGATTTAGGCATTTGTGTGTCGACTGCTTTAGTTAGTTAGATTCGTCTTCTGGTTTCTCTGGTTTTACAGACTTCATGGAGATAATCAAAAAATAATTTCTTTACATGTATAGAAAGTTCATGTATCTACAAATCACCACTATTCTAACTCATTTTCTAAATTACTGTCCTAATACGAAATCTCTCAAACGTTTCGCTCTTAATTAGATTGAATCTACAATCTTACATCTCCACTTTTGAAAAAAGTATGTCACAGAGACGGTATGCTGTTGATGGTATTTGTTTTTATGTATTTTGCGGTAATCATTTTCCTCGAAAACCACTGAATATAACTCACTCCCATCCCCCAATGAAGCTGACATTCCATTGACTATAAAAAACATTGATTTGTTACCCTTTTGTCTACTCACACTCCATCTTATGTTCTGAGTGACTGCACATTTTATATACGTTCATTTGACAATATTGAATACCGAACCATCACTCTATATTACACATGTACCCCAATACAGTTTCCGATATAATTTTCACATGCTTTTAATGGCTACTTGTATAATAATATTCACGGATTTATAACTGTAGAGCCTGAAGAATAAATTATCGTAATGGGAGGTAGGCAAGTATAGTTTGACGTGATGATTTACTAAATGGGAATTAATCTGATTGAGAATTAGCGCACGTTGCGGGAATATCAGGTAAGGTGAATTAGTTTTTTAAAGAATTACGTGAAGAGAGGTTTTTGTGGGCTTCTTACAAACTCAGCATCCTCTGCAAAGTCTAGAAGTATTGGCCGGAATACATTCTAAGTATTTGAATTGGTAACATCGTCGTGTTTTTTGTTTACACTGTCTGAACGACATATTTGTAGTGATTCCTCTAAATATTAAGATTGCATAAATATGCTAAATATAAGCGAAAGTTGTAGCCGGGCGATTGAGTGTATATTTCTTAATGCTTCCCTTTCTGCAGCTTCATTGACTGTGTAGTCTGGTTTGATATGATTTACATAACTAAGAAGTAATTACATTGTGTATTAGAATAGTTCATCTTGTGACTTTGTGTAATTATGACAGGTGACAAAAGTCCTCAGGTATTTAATTGCCATTTCCTTTGTGGTGTTGGTGAAATTTCTTGTTGAACAGTTTAGAATTTTGGCTTAGTCCTAAGTAGTCGAGTCATCCCGGCATCCATTGCCTAAGTTGGCCAGGTTATACCTTATGCATATCTATTCATCGTCTTCCTTAAGTTTCTGTGTGAGCAGAAATAGAATCAGGTCAGAAGAAAGGAAAGTAGTTAGTTCGAAACATGACATCAACTTGCAAAAGCAACTGGCTGTTGGTGCCATTGATGTGGGGAGTAGGTTGTCGGATTAGGGTCCATATGATCACCGGGGTGTTTGGATGTGATGGGAATAATCTTATTATTTTTTCATATTTTTATTTATAGCTTGATTTCACAGTATTTTGGTACAAGTATGGAGTTTTCAGCATATGATATCGATAGGCCAAATTTATCAGGCTGATCATGGATATCAGCTGTGCGTCGACCGGGCATCGAACCCCGGACCATGTAAATGGTCGACGAGCGTCCTAACCGTTGTGCCACTGGCGCACATTATTAATCAGAGTGATTAAGTTGCGATCTAATTGCAGTTTTATTTGTGCAAGGTTAAACCAAAAAGTTACGAGTGCTTCGAACAAATTCTGTAGGATTGGTTTTTATTCCTTCTACTTAGCTTCATAATTTGTTCTCTTTTCACCAATTAGTTATAGATGTCTTATAATGTCGCAAGGTTTATCTATTTCTACTTTATTATTATATTATTATTGTATCCCTTAGTTCCTAGAGGAACATAGGGTTTCAGCTGCGCACCTCCATTGCCTTCTGTTTTCTGACAACTTTTTCACCCCGCTCCAGGTCTGTCCACATGCTTTCATCTCCTCCTCGCATGACCTCCTCCAAGTCACCCTTGGACGACCAACTCGCCGCCTCCCTTTCGGGTTCCACTCGAGCAATGGCTTGTCTAGTGATGTCACTTGATGGTTTCCTCAGCGTATGGCCAATCCATCTCCATTTCTTCCTGCCTATTTGTTTCACAATCGGTTCCTGATTGGTTCGCTCCCAGAGATCCCTGTTGCTGATCTTTTCTGGCCAGGCATCTGATCTTGAGCAAAGTATTGAGCGAAGACAGCTGTTAATGAAGGTCTGAAGTTTGTTTGAGATGCTCTTTATGACTCCAAGTCTCTGATCCGTATAGTAGCACTGACTGACTTCACATTGGAGTTGAAAATCCGGATCTTGTTTTTCATGCTGAGTGCTGTTGACCTCCAGATAAACTTGAGAGTAATGAAAGCTTGTCTTGCTTTTCCGATTCTTGCTTTGTTATCCCCGTCAGTTCCGACTGTAATTGAAACGATGCTTCCCAGGTAGGTGAAGGAGGTTGTTTCTTTCAGGTTCCTCCCATTTATGCCGATTGTTGCTACTTTAGGCTAAATTAAGTAAATTAACTAAATAACATAGGTAATAGTTAGTCAATTAATTGAGAGATTGTCAGTGGCTAATGCATGTCTTTCAAATAAAGTAAAGATAATATGATTTGATAAGAAGTCTGACTGACATAACTGATTTTATTATTCTGAGAATATCTCAGTGAATGTACGTGTAAATAAATGTGTAAATAAAACGTTTCACTTGCATACTTTTTTTCCTTTTGTAAACCATCGGAAGTATATTGTAGTGACTGTACGCGTTTACTTTCATCTTCAGGGTATTGTAAATAAAGTTTTACAGAAAGTATTCATACGTGGCCAACTGAACTTGCATGTCATGTCATCATGCATAGGAACGACAATGATGTGATTGCAAATTTCAAGTTGTTACTTATTGGAGATAGTGGAGTTGGAAAATCCAGGTGAGTTTCACACTTATACGGATTATTTAATAATACTGTAGCTTGTTAATGCGCTATACGAATGATTGCTTTGAAAGCCAGTTGTCCGCAACTATTGGTAAGCTGTATTTCAATAATAATTTATATATACGTCTCTAGGTGTTGATTTCAAAGTCAAACTTGTTACTGTTCCTGATGGAACTAAAGTAAAACTTTCTATTTGGGTGAGTTGATATTTTTTAAAATTAAGATTTATCTCTAACATAAGATTTACAATTAATTCTAAGCAAAGCAAGCAACAAAGCAAGAACTACAGTTTCAGCAGAATAAAGTGGTACCATCTTTTATTTCGTTGCCTTCTCGTCAGCTGCTAACAGACCAAAGACATTATTAAATATATCTACAACAACAATTTTAACATACTTGCACAGAGTTCATTTTAACCAAAAATCAATCGATCAATACACACATACAGTAATATATATATATATATATATATATATATATATATATATATATTTGCGACATTAAACACCATTCCGAACTTTTCAGCATTTCGCATTCGGGTGAAAGAGATGAAAAAAATCTGTACTACAGAGCGAGGAGAATATGCTCTATAGAGAAATTAGAGGAAGAATTTGAGTTTCTTGAAAAGATATTGAAGAACAATGGGCACCCTCAAAGGTTCATCAACAAGTATGGAAGACCTAAAGTCACTAATGTAAAACAAATCACAGTGGAAAAAAAGCCAGTCTACTTTCAGCTTGATTATAAAGGTGAAAATATGCAGCGATGATCAAAAGAAGGCTGAGTACATCACTAGCCATAGCCTATCCTGCAGCTAAGCTCGTTCCGTCTATCGAACAACTTGCTCTTTGGTGCACTCAAAAATCGATAGATATCCTTCTCATGTTAACTCCAACTGTATATGCAAATCTACATGTATCTGCGGGAGCAGTTACATTGGAAGAACAGAAAGAAAGGCATATCTACGATTTTCTGAAGATGTGCCGAAAAGCTTACGTCTTAAGGCGAAAAATGCTTTAAACATTGCCATCGCCAGGCATCTCCTCGACACGGTCATGAGAAGGACGTCGAAAAGTTGTTCGAAATTACCAATAGGCAAAAGAACTCAATTCTCCTTAAGTTTGATGAAGCCATTTCCATTAAGCGTCTGAAACCTGATTTATACGTCCAGAAAAAAACGGTTATCAGTTTTTCTTTGCCCTGGTAACTGGATGTTTTTCATCTCTCGTTCATCCGAATGCAAAATGCTGAAAAGTTTCCATTGTGTTTGATTATTATTGTTCGGAATAGTGTTTAATATTACATGTATATGTATATATAATTACTGTATGCATATATTGATCGATTGATTTTTGTTTAAAATGAACTCTGTGCAAGTATGTTTTTGTGGATATATTTAATTTCTTTGCCATGTAAGCAGCTGACGAGAAGGCAACGAAATAAAAGATGGTACCACTTTATTCTGCTGAAACTGTAGTTCTTGCTTTGTTCAAATTCATTAAGGGGAATAAATATATGAAATCATGAATTTCAAAATTGTCTTACAGACACCTACATAAAACTATGCTGTTACTAAATCGTACTATTCCCTCTGTTCACTAAATACCATCTTTTGGAATCACAAGAGGGAGAGCAAAGTAATGTCTGCATGTATATCAAGTAAAGCAAGTTCATTGAACATCCATTTCTCTCACATTTTCTCGTGAATAAACAGAAATGACTTGTCACACGTTTGCCGTTTAACAACCTTTAGAAGGCAAAAGTTAATTCTATAAAAAGCTGCTTGTGATATTCCCCCTTTTTAATAAGCAGACAAGATTTATAATCGAATAAAGGTGATAAAGTATGCGTAAACACACTGACTTGATACCGTAGGATAAACTGTAGTTTTATAGGGAGTCTCTGTTAGCGCATTCCGATTAGAACTGATGTATATCTAGACAAAGGGCTACATTGATTTATAAGTCAGTCATTCCAACTCGTTGGGTAAATTTCCATGAATCATTGGATATTACAATTTCTTGGTGCATGTACAAAAAGTTTATTTTCAAATCAGTGTACATAAAGGGCGACGCATATTTCTATTGGAGGTAATAAATTCTTAGTAAATCTGGCAGTGCTTTGTTTCGTACCATATGTATATTGTGATACAATGTATTTTTCACTTTCTCTACTGTCTTACATCTATTGGAATCACCGAGGGAATGCCTGCCCCCCCCTGGTTTAAGCACTTGGCTTTTTAGTCGGTGGTTCTAGGGTTCAGATCTCAGTACTACTGGCTAGTATCACCAGTCCTCACAATAGATACAGTTCGTAGCCGGGTGCCTAAAATCTGTCTCGGGTGACCAAGTTCTACTACCGACACTCGGACCACCCTCTGGGTTTTTAAATCCAATTGACTCTAACGGTTCAGTCCTTTGTATTACATGCCTGCTCAACGTCTGCTCAATCGGAATACTCAGCATCGGGCTGGAAAAATAACTAACAGCCTTTGACTGTTTGTCTTAGTCATAGTGGGAAGTAAAAGACTCCGTATTAGATTATGCAAGGTAACCGATGTAGACAGTTGAAGACATGGTGACTTGACTCAGTCACTTGGAATAATTCAGATGCATTCATTTAATGCATACACGTCATAATCTCCTTTATTTTTTTCTTTTGTCTCTTTTGGATGATTTTTTTTCAATACTGCTATTATTATTCCATTTTGTTTCTCTCTGTTGATAAATCCCCAATGACAGCTTGGTGGTGGTCTTAGTTTTTACTTAGTTCGTGTGTCTGTCTGTTTGTTTTCGACATAGAACTTTGCACAAATGTGCGGAAGTTCAAGTCGCCACACTCCGTGTAGCACGCGAAGCAAGAGAAGAAAGTACAAGAAAAGCATAATAGAGACAGTGAGCAGAGGTGTGAGACAAAGGAGTAATAACGAAGAACAAAACAGTTTCATTGGAGATCATAAGTCACAGGGAGTGGATGCATCTGCGCCACTGAGAACGACTTTGAGCCATGTCACCAATTGTTTCCAACCATAGATTTTTACCGTCCCGAGGACCCCAGCCTGGAAGTCTACACCTTCCTACGTGGCTTAGACCAACTGTTGTGGATTTCATTGACTGGTGAAGCCATGTTTTTGTTTGACCGCCGCTAGCTTTTTTCCAGCCTGACCCTATATCCACTAACATTGCTCGTCGAGGGAGGCGATGGCTTGGCATACGTAACACATGTCCTAACCATCTCAGTCTTTGTAATTTCACGACTTCGTCGATTGATTTCCCCTGTTTACCTAGAACTCTACGCCTAACCTCCATGTTGCTCACCTTATTATGCCACTTTACACGGGAAATAGAGTGCAGGCACCTATGATCAAACACAGCTAGTCTTTTCATGTCTTCCACTCTCAGTGGCCAGGTCTCACAACCATAAAGGAGGACGGAGCGGACTGATGAGCAGTACACCCGCCCTTTGGTCGATAGTCGAACATCTCGTCTACGCCAGAGTCGGCGTAAACTAACAAATGCGAAACGAGCCCCTTGTATTCGTGCTGAGATTTCGTCAGAGATCAACCCGTTGGCACTGGTTGATGGTACTTCCCAAATAAGTGAAGCGGTCAACGTGCTCTACCACTTCACTTCCTATTTTTAAACTAGGCGTCGATGTAGTCCAGTCCTGTAACATCATCTTGCATTTGGCGGGAGCGAATCGCATGCCAAACATTCGTAGATTGCTGCTCAAGGTGTTTAGAAGACTCTGCATTTTGTCAGAGTCGTCGCCTAGGAGGACTATATCGTCTGCATATTCTAAGTCAACGAGATTATTCCCTGGTAGCAAGTCAATCCCTGAGTCGCTGAAGTCACTTAGGGTTAAGTCCATTAACACATCTATGATGAAGTTGAATAGAAAAGGAGATAATGGGCATCCTTGACGGACACCGCTAGTCGTCACCAGTTCGGATGACAGCTCGCCGTAAGCCCTCACCTGGCTGTATGAGTACGAGTACAGTGCCTTTATCAGTGCAATATATTTTCTCGGAACAGCCAAGCATCTCCAGAGAACTTCTCGATCGACAGAGTCGAATGCTGCCTTTAGGTCAAGAAATATAATGACTGTTGGTCGCCGGTAGGAATGCCTATTTTCTAGAATCTGTCGGAGGGTGAAGATATGATCAATACACCCTCTTCCTGGTCTAAAGCCTGCCTGTTTCTCTCGTGTTTGTGCTTCCCGAGCACCACTCAGTCTACGCATGATTATTGAGCCTAAGACTTTAGATACTATATTAGTCAAGCTAATCCCTCTGTGATTATCACAGGAAGACTTGTCTCGTGTGTCTGTACAGTATTTGGTCTTATGGTTTCAAGAAATTAATAACGATAGATCGCAGATTTTGTGCTTAAATAAATCTAAGTGATAATAAAGGTATTAATTACGGTTTTAATCTACCTTAAGATGTATAGTACACGTTGCTTACTTTCTGTCTTTGATATCTTCTATCTAAATAACTATCTATTTTCGTCGGCTTCTGTCAATGTAATATTGAGTGTTATGTGGCACTTAGTTAGAACGACTTACAGATGATAACATGGGGTGGTGTTTCTTACATGGTGACCTTAACTTCTTACTTTTGTAACTGAGCATAATCAGGTATTTGGTGTCCTGCTAACTTGTTACTTATTGTTGTCATACATTCCAAAGATTGGAAAGACTAACTTTCAGCAATAACATATAGATTTATGTATTGGGCGTAATAATTGCTGGTTGTGGAACAGAATTTAATCCCTGTAGTAAAATATATTTTCATACTATCAAAATGTTTATATGAAGTAATACAGATTGTGATACACTATTAATAACTGAATGGTGTTTTGAGCATAAGGTGTCGCTCATAGTCGTAGATATATATAAAATTGATATGATTGTGAGCTATAAATTGTCCTCAAAATGTTGTCATCCAGTTGTATCGAATAAACTTACACACTATGGAATTACTGTTGTAGTGTTTTCCGCCTGGTGTATCTATTCATGGTGGGATCGATCATACTAAGAAACACTTGTTCTTTACACGTCGTCTGCCTACATCTTATTGCTACAGTGGATTTCTATTCTAACGCGCCAATACAAAGCAGTAACTGACAAATAAGATGAGTGAACGGTGTTAAAGCGTACGTAGATAATTATAGTGTATTTTCCAACATTTTGTTTT